ATAACCCGTATTAGATCTCTTATCAATTTTAGATTCAACTCAATCAGCATCTGTAAAATATTCGATGTGAGTACGCTCATAATTTCTGAACACCATGCTTGTAACATCCAAAAAATTTTATTTTTATTATTTTATTTATTTTAATTTTTATTAGAATTTTTGTTTAATTTTATTCTATTTTAATATTTAATTTATAAGGTTTTAATTTAATTTAATTTAATTTAATAGAAATAAAAATAAAAATAATAATAAAATCGGGTAAAATTATTTTTGAGATTTAATTGAAATTGATTTTGGAAAAAAGGGGTGAAAATTTGAATTCTGTGAGTGTTTTTGAAAAGAAAATCGAAAACTGGGGGTTAAAATACAATTTAAAAAAGTTGTACCACGTCAGCAGCCCCGGCCAACCAGAACACGCTGTGTGGCAAGAAAGCTGACGCGGGACGGAGCCACATGGACGATCCGCATGCACGCGATCGAACGGTCCATATCTCACGCGCATGGACGGCCCACATCTCACGCGTGCGGACGGTCCATATTGAATCACGCATGGACGGCCCAGATTACATCGCGATGGACGGTCCAGATTTATTCTCATTTTAATCGCGATCGGACGACTCAGATTAAATCGTGATGGACGCCTGAGATTAAAAGGGGAAGATTATAAATAACCTCAACTACACCCAACCCCAAACCCTAGCCGCCAGTACCCTCGCCAGAGAAGAAGAACCAGTCATCGGAGGAGCCGGCCGCCGCCACCCGCCGCCGCACTGGAGGATTTTTCAACTGCCAAACGAGGTAAATTTTCTCCCATTGGCTCGTTTTTCGATGCTGAATCCTTCTATGGCCAAATCGGAGCCAAACCACCGGCCAATCGGCCGAAAAACACCCTCGAAGTCCAGCAGGGCCGCCGCGGCTTCCCTCGATTTTTGCCTCCGATGAGGCCCTTCCCGCTTCCCGTTCGATGCAATTTTTACACAACTGTGATCACCGTCCTTTTCTCTACAGGTTGATCAGAGCAAAACATCAAATCGCGACTCGTGCCGGAGAAGCTGCTGCACCCGAGAGCCCACCGCCGGTAAGTCTCAATTTTTCGGTATTTTTTGGCCCACCGAGGGCCCTAGGGTTGTTTTATCGCAGGAACCAATGCAAGTTTGGCCGAATTTGGCCGAAAACGGCCAACCTGAGGCGGATCGCCACCGCGGGCGGCAGTGCCGTCGCTGGAGCACGGCAGAGCTGCTGTGCTGGAATTTCGATATTGGCCAAAAAGGGGCCTGGGTCTGATTTGGGATTTTTGGGGACACATGCAGGTACCAGAAGCATGTTTCAGTTCCCGGTAAAAAATTCAGGAAATTTAGGGACAGCCCGTAGGCGCAGTGTAAAGCCGATTTCAGACCCCGAAACAAGTAAAAATTTCTCACCCTATTTTCTATCATGGTATTAAAGTTCAATAAATGATAAAACGGTATTTCATGAATTGTGTATAATTACTTAAGGTCACTAATGGAAACCGAATCTGATGTATTTGTCGGTCAGTTATTATTTGATCTATTTTACAGTTTTAAATACAGTATGGTACTTGATGTGGTTATTTTATGGTTTTGTATGCATGAATCTCAGTTTCATTTATTATGGTTTGAATTATGGTGAACCCGATGTTGTGTTGTTTGTTTGGTGTTCATTACTGGTTTACGTGTTTATGTTTGATTTGATAATTGAGACCAAGGAAAATAGGAAAAAGGTTATGTGAATTGATAAATAGATAATGTGGACAGCCTAACTAGATATCCTGGGAGATGGTGGACGGACTGGATCCGTAGGGAACCCTACCGAGAACGTGGTCTCTCATATCGAACGAGGTATGAAGACTTTATGTGTTTTGGCGCCCATACCAGACGGGGTATAGGGACGGCCGTTTCACCCTCATACCGGAAGGGGTATTGATGTTTATGGTTTTGGCACCCATACCGGACACGGTATGGGGACGGCCCTGGAATCAGATTATTAATGTTAATGGTTCACGTATAGCGGGGACCCTCTATGGATCCCCATGGATACTAGTAGGCTGATAAAAGAGGAGAATTATTGTCTTATTATTAAAGTACAAAAGTATAACATGTGTTATGTTACAGAGTGTGTATGATTTTATGATGGTTATAATGTTAGCGTTTGAGAAAGGCGACCAGGTGTTCCTTAAGGTCACTCATTTTAAGGGAATTAGTAGGTTCGACAGGAGGAGAAAACTGAACCCCCAATTTATTGGACCTTTTGAAATCTTAGACAGGATTGGTACTGCTGTCTACAGAGCTCTCTAAGGTCCATAATGTGTTCCACGTATCCATGCTACGTAAGTACAACACGGACCCCTATCATGTTTTGGCTCATGAACCGCTTCCACTCTAAGAGAACTTATCTTATGAAGAAGTACCAGTCGGTATCACGGACTGAAAGAACAGGATACTCCGCAACCGAAAAATATCATTTGTAAAGGTCGTGTGGCAGAACCACACGCCAAGGGAGGCTTCTTGGGAGTTAGAATTAGACTTTAAAACTCAGTATCCCTATTTGTTCGACCAAGAATAAGAAGCAAATTTGGAGGACCAAATTTCTTTAAGGGGGGGGGGGAGAGTTGTAACACCCAAAAAATTTTATTTTTATTATTTAATTTATTTTAATTTTTATTAGAATTTTTGTTTAATTTTATTCTATTTTAATATTTAATTTATAAGGTTTTAATTTAATTTAATTTAATATAAATAAAAATAATAATAATAATAAAATAGGGTAAAATTATTTTTGGGATTTAATTGAAATTGATTTTGAAAAAAAATGGGTGAAAATTTGGATTATAGGGGTGTTTTTGAAAAGAAAATCGAAAATTGGGGGTCAAAACGTAATTTAAAAAAGTTGTGCTACGTCAGCAGCCACGTCAGCAGCCTAATCAGCAGCTACGGCCAACCAAAACACGTCGCGTGGCAAGGAAGCTGACGCGGGAGGCCACGCGGGACGAAGCCACGTGGGCGATCCGCATGCACGCGATCGAACGGCCCAAATCTCACACGCACGGATGACCCAGATCACACGCGTGCGGACGGCCCAGATTGAATCACGCACGAACGACCCAGATTTATTCCCATTTTAATCGCGATCGGACAGCACATATTAAATCGTGATAGACGGCTGAGATTAAAAAAGGAAGGTTATAAATAACTTCATCCACACCCAACCCCAAACCCTAGCCACCAGTACCCTCACCGGAGAAGAAGAACCAGTCACCGGAGGAGCCGGCCGCTGCCACCCGCCGCCACACCAGAGGATTTTCTGACCGCCAAACGAGGTAAATTTTCTTCTATTGGCTCGTTTTTCGATGCTGAATCCTTCTATGGTAAAATCGGAGCCAAACCACCGACCAATCGGCTGAAAAATACCGCCAAAGTCCAACGGCACTACCGCTGCTTCTCTCAATTTTTGTCTCCGATGAGGCCCTTTCTGGTTCCCGTTCGATACAATTTTTACACCATTATGATCACCGTTCTTTTCTCTACAGGTTGATCGGAGCAAAACATCAAATCGCGATTCGCGCCGGAGAAGCCGCCGCACCCGAGAGCTCTTCCGCCGGTAAGTCTCAGTTTTTCGTGATTTTTTGGCCTACCGAGGGCTCTAAGGTTGTTTTATCGCAGGAACCAATGCAAGTTTGGCCAAATTCAGCAGAAAACGGCTGAAAACGGTCAACCCGAGGCGGATCACTGCCGCGAGCGGTGGTGCCGTCGCCGTTGGAATTCTAATATTGGCCGAAAAGGGACTTGGGTCTGATTTGGGGTTTTTTGGGACACGTGCAGGTACCGGAAGCGTGTTTCAGTTTCCGAAAGAAAATTCAGGGAATTTAGAGACAGCCTGTAAGCGCAGTGTAAAGCCGATTTCAGACCCCGAAACAAGTAAGGTTTTTTCACCATATTTTCTATCACGGTATTAAAGCTCAATAAATGATAAAACGGTATTTAATGAATTGTGTATAATTACTTAAGATCGCTAATGGAGCCCGAATCTAGTGTATTTGTCGGTCAGTTGTTGTTTGATCTATTTTATAGTTTTAAATGTAGTATGGTACTTGATTTGGTTATTTTATAATTTCGTATGCATGAATCCCGGTTTTATTTATTATAGTTTGAATTATGGTGAACCTGATGTTGTGTTGTTTGTTTGGTGTTCATTACTGATTTACGTGTTTATGTTTGATTGATAATGAGACCAAGAAAATGGAAAAAAGTATGTGATGATAATAGATAATGTAGACAGTTTGACTAGATATCTGAGAGATGTGACGGACCGGATCCGTAGGGAACCTACCGGGAACGTGGTCTCTCATATCGGACGGGGTATGGAGACTTTATGTGTTTGGCGCCCATACCGGATGGGGTATGGGGACGGTCCGTTTCACCCTCATACCAGACGAGGTATTGAGGTTTTATGGTTTTGACGCCCCTACCGGATAGGGTATGGGGACGGCCCTGGAATCAGGTTATTAATGTTAATGGTTCACGTGTAGCGGGGACCCCCTATGAATCCCCATGGATACTAGTAGGCGGATAAAAGAGGAGAATTATTGTCTGATTATTGAAGTACAAAA